GTTTACTTTCTTCTTGAGAAGAATTCTAAGAAGAAAGTAAACCTACAGACATCGGTCTTGTTTAACAAAATCTGCCTACATGTAGATCTTGAAAGTCGAGTTGTTCAAAACTTGAAAATAGCGTTGATAACTGGACCAATTTATAAAAATACATGTTCCAATAATCTACTGCCATTACAGGTTCATTGTTATACATTGACGCTTAAGATACCCCGGCAAGTATTGTTACATATTTACAGTTAACATGTAACAGCCAGTACTATTGAATTTTTAAACTTAAGCTACCTCAGCAAGTATTGTTATGGTATTTACATTTAACTACCACAACAAGTATTGTTGCACATTTACACTTAAGATGTTACATAAGTACTATTATGTATTTACACTTAAGGTTTTACAGCAAGTATTGTATTGTATTTAGGTTTAACATGCCACAACAAGTATTGTTATGCATTTACACGTAGGATGTTAAAGCAAGTATATAATGCTATGTTATTACACTTAACATATCACAGTAGGTATTAATATGTTCGTAAACTTAACAATATCTGGGTTTGGTCATCTCTCTTACGTTATCATCTGGCGGTTCTTCAAATGTTCCAGCTTGGATGGAATAAGCAATAAAACACAGCACAGCACCTATCCACAACAGCAAGGCAAACCCTCCAAACAGGTTTTTACAAAATTTCACCCATTCGGGGGTTGTTTTGGGTGGACTAAGAGCGTTTGGACCATCTCGGTCATAGATTTCTCTGGCTTGTTGTAACGTGAGTCCCTATCGAATACAAAATAAACATGTATATGTGTATGGTTTTATCCAAATAGAATAAACCCAAAATCGAAACAACAAACATCAGAACCTTATTACTATATAAAAATGCCCCCCCCCCAGTGGCATAGCGGTATGTCTGCGGACTTACAACGTTAGAAACCGGGTTTCGATACCCGTGGTGGGCATAGCACAGATAGCCCATTGTGTAGCTTTGTGATTAACTTTAAAACAAACAAACTATAAAAAAAAGACCCGCTGGAGCCAGTTTTAAAACACCAGAGTTATTATTCTGTATAAATAAATATTATATTATATGTTTTAATATTAAACAAAAAATATAATATTTACAGCTGAAAATGAGCTATATGTGGGTTTGTAGTTACTTGTAGCCTTATAACGACAATGGGTAAAATAGACTAAAAGCGTATTCTGAATTAATTAGTAAAATTCGTATTATTATAATTTTAGCAACTATAAATATGTTGTTGAACTAAGGCCATCTAAAATGATTATAGTATCACAGATAAAATCTGAGCATTTTATGGCATTCTAAGCTGCTTCTTTTTACACAACTGTTAATTAATCTGTTAAGTGCACTTATGGTTATTTATTGTTGCATTTACTTAGCACTCACCTTTGCAGGATTTGTACGTAATCTCGAACACAGCTCATCAATTGGTATTTTATGTTCGTCCTGAAAAAAAAAAAAAACACACAAGAGGTACTGAACGCATGCTGCTATATTGGCATTAACTTAAATTCAATTGTAAGAATAAATAATTCCCAGTACACTTATCTGTTAAAGTGTGTGTGGTTATTGACATCCTAAGACTAATGAAGGATTATTAACTTAATGAAAGTATTGTACTTTGATGGAGGAAGTTAAATATCAAGTGAAGAAATCACCACCAGATAGCACGACAACATTAGAAATATTAGTTGTTTTTTGTTGTTTCTTTTTTTTTTTTCTAAGGGAGAAATTACCTCCTGCTTGGTTGATTTAAAACATTTAAGTTCTTCATGGGAATAAATGGTTTTGGTTAAAAATAAATTACCGTTAACTCCAGTGCATTAGATTAAGTTTTTTTAAAGCCATCATTTCGATTTACGCCTTTATTAACACACACACACATGTATATATATAGTCGACAAAGGTTTTGTCCTAAAACATAATCTACTAAACTAAAATTGTTGTCGATTGTATGTATACTAAGAAGTCCTTGATAAAGGCATAAACTTGAAAAATAGTCTAATCCCTTAGAATTAGTCATAATTTATTTGGGATAAAATGGTGTTAAAAGTGAAGTACACACTATGAACGTTAAAATTCGTTTTGTCTTCTCTTCTGGATAATGAAAAACGTTTAAATTATTTTGTGGTTTAACTGTTTTGTAAAAATTATTAAAAAGTTATTTCTTATTATATGCAACACAAATATCCAGCAAAAGTAAAAAGCAAATAAATGAAAAGTTCTTTTGAGATTTGATTTCAAATATCATTTCAATAAGGATAGTCTACGTGTTTTTATGCTATTCGCTGTTTTTGTTCCTAACAGATTTATAATTTGTTATTCTCACCATGGAAACCTCTTTCTTAAGGTCATCCAGGTCAGCCCCACCCTTCTTCTTACCCCTGCAGGCTCGTGGATTATTTTTCGCTGCTGCAGGAGTAGTGCCATCAGCCATATTTGGAGTCACTGCAACCCGATAGCTGTCTGATCGCCCATACTATAATAGAAACAGGTAGGAAAGATATAAGCTATATTCCAACAATATTAATAGAATAACATTAATACTCTTTTAACGATGAACAGCGGTAAGTCTATGAACTTACAACGCTCAAATCCGGAGTTCGGTTCCTGTAGTTGACACAGTAGATATCCCAGTGTGGCTTTGCTTTAAACAAAAACTTCAAGGACTGAAAGCGTACTTCAATAGTACCTTTATTTAGCAAAATAATGCAAAACTTTCATTATACAAAAATTGTTCTTAAAAACAGTGAAATGTAATTAAAGATTCTATACGAAAACTCACATTTAAATCTAATAAAAATAATTATCTTTCCTTAAGTAATACACATTATATTTTACATTAAATGTTAACACTCGACTGGAAAATCTCTCTGAAATGAAATAAGTAACATGTAGAAATTCGGGCGAAAGATTTATATTGAAGAAAGCGTTCTTTTGTTCTAGGGTAGATTCAAAAGATGTATTGAACCATATTTTGAGATACAATTTTTTCAAGTTGTAATAATGATCTTATAAATGCTAACTATGAGTTAGAGAAGTTTTTACCATTCGATATCGGCAGTGATTGAATTATATAAATCACTCGTTTCCATCCCATGAATCTATGGGAAGTAATATAATTTGAAAAAAAAAAGATCGTGGAGATGTTAAGGAAATTAAAAATCATGATGAGTTTAGATATGTTCTAGAAATGTATTTAGGACATTCGATAATTTAAGTAACAGGAAGAGGGGCTAGTTTCTACTTCTCCAAAATCTTGAAACATTTTACTTCAAAACGTTTTCTTGTCTTTTAGCGATAACTAAGTTAAACAAACTAACACTCAAAGATAAAAGTATCAAAGGAGGCGCCACTGTCAGCTTCTTCTCATCAAGCGGCAGCCACGTCAAACTAACTGGTGCTCAAAGATAAAAGTATGAAATAAAGCGACACTCTGTCAGCTTCTTTTTCATCTAGCGACAACCAAATCAAACTAACCGAAAGTAAAAAAAAAGGATCAGCAAGTGAAGATATAGAAAAATATCTAAACAGAAGGAAAACAAACTTTTTCTGTGCATTACTAACTTATTTACTCTAAATAAAAAGCAAGATTAGTTTGTCTTCTACTTTGTATTGATGGTGTTTGATTCAAAAAAGTTCTTCGATGTACTATCTAATAAACAAAATCAGTTGAAAAAGAGTTCAATATCGAGAGGAAATATTTGTTTCATAGAACTGAATATTTTAAAGATTAGTTATTAACATTTTATAGGAACAACAATATCGCACACAATTTAAAAATAAAAACAAATAAGGGCATGGCCAGGTGGTTAGGGCGCTCGACTCGCAATCTGCGGGTCGCGGGTTCGAATCCCTGTCCTACCAAACATGCTCGCCCTTTCAGCCGTGGAGGCGTTATAATGTGACGGTCAATCCCACTATTCATTTGTAAGAGAGTAGCCCAAGAGTTGGCGGTGGGTGGTGATGACTAGCTTCCTTCCCTCAAGTCTTTCACTGCTAAATTAGGGACGGCTAGCGCAGATAGCCCTCGTGTTGCTTTGCGCGGAATTAAAAACAAACAAATCATCATTATTAACTTTTTCCAGTTGCTAAGCTTTAACCAGTAATTCCCAGTTTTTGAACTTTACTTACTCGGTACTTTCCCAGTTGCCGAATTTCATTGGCATTTCCCAGTTCTTATGCTTTACCTGGTATTTTCCCTGTTGATGAACTTCTTCGACACTAGCTTTCTCTATTTACTTTACCCAACATTTTCCCAGTTGTTCAGTTTTGCCCGGGATTTTCCCTGTTACCAAGCCTCATTGATATTAACCTTTTCTTGTTGTTAGTGCTTTATCCTCCATTTTATTTAATGAGTTTTAACCGACACCATTTCAGGGTTCTGATCTTCATTGGAGAATATTTTCTATTTACTGTGGTTTATTTCGCATTTTTCCAGTTTCTGAGCTTTGTCTGTTATTTTTCCAGATGTCGATGTTTAATCTGGTATTTTTTCAATTTACTTTCGTTTCTTGCACTTCGGTTTTCATTACTTTTCCTTATAATGCTGGTATTTTCATTAAATATGTCGAAAGCAATTTTTTCTGAAATGCTCATCTTTAATACGTAATGTTTGGTAACTTAGGAGCTCTCGAGATGAATTGACTTTATCATAAAAGTCCACTAACTCTACTATACACTCAAAATGCTTTGAAATATTTTAGGTTTTCAAACCATTAAAAGTGTGTAAATCATATACTTATTTCAAGTTAATCAAAAGTATGACTATACAGATCATAAACAATTTTCACCCAAGTAATTTTTAGAGAAAGAGTTATATTTTTCTTAATTTTAAGCCGTTCAAAGATTTAGGTACATATTGTATGTTGTTTTGTTTGTTGGATTTTGGAAACATTATAAAAGTGAACGGGAACGTCCTATTAAACTGAGATTGAAATGATAAAAAATAATCATTTCATACTCTTACAAATAAAGCCTAGCACAAATTGGTGGTTAGAGTATTCGACTCCCAGTCTACAGATTCTAATTCCACCACCTAACATGCTCGCCCTTTCAGCCGTGGGGCATTATAATATAACGATTAATGCCACTATTTGGTAAAGAATAGCCCAAGAGTTGACAGTGGGTGGTGTGGGCTAGCTGTTTTCTTTCAAGTCTATCACTTTTAAATTTGGGACTATTTTTGCAGATAGCCCTCTAGTAGCTTTGCGCGAAATTCAACAAACAAACTTCCAAATTGAAAAAATATATATTTCTTCTCTATATTATTCGTTGCATTTTCATTGGGGTAATATTATTTTGGGCGCGAAATCCAGCATTTAAAGTTGGTTAAAACTAAAGGAATTACACTGACACAGTGAAAATAAAACCTTTTAGACGATTACTTTTGAGTTTTCAGTTTTAATATATTGTATTAAGATTACCAGTGATATCATGCAGTTATTGTTCGCATGTTCAGAAAAGAATAAAATTATGCTTTAATAATTATTGTAAAAGACAAACGTCTTTTTTTTTTTCAGAAATATTCTCTCTCCCTTGCTACAACGCGCTCGTTCTGCTATATTGATATGTCTGAGTTATATTTTCACCACACGGTTAAGTACGTCACAAAAAATAACAATTATTCTTTGAAAGGTCACGTGTAAAAACCTCCTCAATTTTATGACAAAAGAAAAATTGAATACATACAGCACAAAGCTATAAGACTAATAAAACATGCGTCAAAATTTACTAGAGAAAGGCAAGCATTTGAAAATGTGGGGATCATATATATGAAAACGTAAAAATCACGCGTTCCAAGAACACACGTCATGATCTCAGAAATTCATGAATTTTAGTTATCAGAGGAAACACATGTTGAACTCGGAGATTCATAGCGTATGTGGATCCATAAAAACCAGTCTTGAAGTCAGAGATCCATAAGTTATAGGTATCCGAGGAATTGTTCTTAAACTCGGAGAATCGTGAATTTTTAATGATCCCAGAAAACATTTCAAGAACTTTGAGAACCATGAATTTTAGTACTCCAAAGAAACGCAAGGAAACAAATCTTGAACTAGGAAATCAATAGATTATAGGGACCCAGGGAAACAAGTCTTGAACTCAGAGAAATCAATAACTTATACGAATTCGGTGAAACAAGTACTAAACTCAGAGATCAATAACATATAGAGATCCGAGAAAATACGCTTAAGCTAAGGGAATCGTGAATTTTAGTGATCCGAGGAAACTAAGAGATCCTTAAATTACAGGGACCCGAAAAAACAAGTGTTGATCTCAGAGATCAATAACTTATAGAGATCCAAGAAAATACGTTTAAACTCAGGGAATCGTGAATTTTAGTGATCCGAGGAAACTAAGAGATCCTTAAATTACAGGGACCCGAGAAAACAAGTGTTGATCTCAGAAATCAATAACTTAGAGGGATGCGAAGAAACAAGTCTTGAACTCAAAGATCAATAACATTTGGAGTCCGAAGAAATATATCTTAAACTCAAAGGATCATGAATTTTAGTGATCTTGAAAACACGTCAAGAACTCAGAAAATCATGAATATGTTTAGTAATCCGAAGAAACGTGTCCTATACTATGAGATTCATAATTTTTAGTGATCCCCAAAACGCGTCAAAAATTCAAGAATTATAATTTTTTGTGGTCCGAGAAAGCAAGCGATAATTAATATAATGATGAGGGCTAGTGACCTTAAGTAACATTTTAATAAAACCATAAAATTATGTAGTTTGGGAAAACACGTGTAAAATATATAGCCATTCACATTTCATAACTTGAGAAACTTTTCATATATTAGAAATATCAACGAATTGGGTGGGAAGAAGAAAAGCATCGTGAAACTAAGTATCATATTACAAATAAGAGAAAAATCTGAAATGCTTATCTTCATTCAAATCTAATGATATGAGAAGCTATGATTTTAAAACACATAAACGGTAAAATTTTACTATGAAGCTGTCCTCCGATGGCTCAGCGGTAACAGCGAGAACTTATTACGCTAAAATTCGCGGCTCGATCCCTGCGAGGGCATAAACAGAAATAGCTCATTATCAGATGCGTCATTAGGTGCTTAAAAGATTCGGGGCTCGGGCCAATAGGCGCAGGAATTTTCGACGGTTCAGCACAATAGCGATCATAGTTCTCTATGGTGATTTTTCAAAACACAAAAAGAAGGATTCTGGGCACTGTCAAATAGAATCAGAGCACGGGTTCCGTTTGCTAGTGCCTAGCGACGCCTCTGCTCATTAAGTAGCTTTACGTTTAACAACAAGCAAACAACTTAATATTAAACTCAGTAACTTCAAAATAATAACATAAAATTTAATGTAAGTCAGTTACCAGCGTACCCCCCCCCCCCAAAAAAAAAGATCAGTGTATTGCAAAATGGTCGTAAATTATATGCGGTAATCTTCCTACGCTATTCCAGGATATGTCTATCAAAGGGCTAATTTTACAAAAAGACTT